AATGTATTTAAACCGAAACTTGTGTGCGTTTTTCTTTAATTTGATTTGAAAACTTTTATAGCTGGCCAATAAATTAAAACGGCCGACCGAAAAGTTAATCAATACAAAAAACTGGCTACATACCCATAAAAAGTAGAATTTGGCACCTTAATGTTGTGAATCCAACTAGAATCAATATCAGTAATGAAAAAAAAAATATTGCTTCATCCGAACATTTGCATTGAAGTTGATTCTGACTAATGCGCTATAGCATGATAAAATATTACTATTAATAACCACTTCAAATCGTGCTTCGCTCGCGATGTAAAACATATTGGCACGTTTGCTTTGCTGTTTTCTTTCTTACTTTGCCCCTTCCAAACGAACGAAGCGATAAGAATAAACGGATTTCCAGGAAATTTTAATAGAGCAGATTGAAGTGTGGCTGTGTATTCCGAAAACCATTTGAGATAGTGCAAGGTCAATACATCGACGTGAATAGCGTATAAATTGAAGAATTAGCTGCTCAGTCACACAGCAGTCATTGAGCGGTGAAGTTGCAGCTAGAATCGAAAGAAATCATTTTTCTGTTCATTCTCAAATAAACTGGTTCGAAGGTTTGATCCTAATCCTAGTTGACGGCGCATCTTTTTTCTTAAAAGTAACATCACCATCGTGTGAAATAGAACAAAACAAACAGTTGCGAGTTTGACGTTGCGTTTGTCGCATACGCATTTCAATCTGTCATAGTTGTCAAGCTGTCTAGATTGAAATTGACAATTGACAATGTCTTCAAAAGTGGTTGCAAACGCCCGAGCACTTCAAATCGTCGAGCCAACCGATGATCATTCATTTGTACTGAAAATCGATGCACTGGAAACGATTTTAAACGCAGAAAGTATTCGAGATCGTCATGTAGTCGTGGTTTCTGTTGCTGGAGCGCTTCGACAAGGCAAAAGTTTCCTGTTGAATTTCTATTTACAATATTTGAATGCTCAGGTAAGGGACAATTGAAGATTGTGAACATTTTAAGTGAAAAAAAAATAACTGAATTAAAATTTGGTGTACAGTACAAACGGAAAGATGCTAGCCAATTCCTCGGAGAAAATTTGCGCAAATGTTTTTCTTGGCGTAGCGGTTGTGATATCCCAGATACAATTGGCATTCTGATTTGGTCGGAGATTTTTACGCACGATTCCGATGATGGCGAAAAGCTGGCGATCATTTTGATGGACACTCAAGGGTCATTCGATAGCAACAGCAGTGTACGTGATTGTTCAACCATATTTGCGATGAGCGCAATGCTTTCGTCGGTTTTGTGCTACAATCTAATGAACAACATTCGCGAAGATGATTTGCAGTACCTTCACTTGTTCACGGAATATGGAAAACTATCGCTGGACGAATCTCCCGAAGAGAAACCATTCCAGGTACTATTGTTCGTTGTGCGCGACTGGCAATTCGCATATCAGTACAAATTTGGATATGTCGGTGGAGAGGGAGTGGTTACCAAACGTCTTGAGAAGAACAACAAACAAACTGAAGACATGAAAAAACTACGAGATCAACTGAAATCCAGCTTTGAACACATTCGCGGCTTTTTAATGCCACATCCTGGTGATGTCATATTCCCGTTTTCTTTTTCATTTGCTCAAAAAGTTAGAAAAATTATAAATATATTTTTAATACATTCTCACCAGGCGACGCTGTTACACAAGATGAAAATTACGGTGGACAAATAAGTTTGATCGCAGCCCAATTCAAAGATGCATTGCAGGAACTGGTGCCAAATATATTAGCCCCGGAAAATCTCATCATTAAAAAAATAAACGGCCGAAAAGTGCGTGCAAAGGACTTTATCCAGTATCTAAAATCGTACATGGCGGTTTTCAATGGCAAAGATATGCCAGAGCCAAAGTCAATTTTCGAAGCAACGGCTGATAGTTACAATATGATCGCATTTCTTGATGCCAAATCCAATTATGTACAATTGATGACAAAATCATTGAAGGGAACAAGTTCATACTTCACCAATGATGAGCTGCGAAAACTGCACCTTCAGCAAAAAAGTCTTTGCATTGTTCAGGTAAACACAAAAAATAAGGAATATTTTCTTTTATCCACACTATGAAAAAACATAATTTTCCGCTTCACAACAGTTTAATAGCAAACCGAAGCTGGGTGGAGCCACGATTGCGGAAAAGTATTTACGAAAACTCCAGGATGAAATCGAAAAAGAGTACAACATCCAAACTGTCCTGAATGAGGCGAAGAAACAAAAATATATTGTATGCATGAATTGAATTTTCAATTTTTAAATGACCTTCACTTAAAAATAATCTGTTTCATTTAGAAAGCGCAAGAAGTGAAGATTTCAAAGGCAAAAGATGAAGCTGTCACCAGCTACAAGAGTATGTTTGAGAAAGAATTGGCCGGTACAGCATCCTATCTCAGCGAAAATAGTATGATCAGCCATCATGCCCGAATTAAGAAGCTTGCGATTGATCTGGTAAATACATCAACCAATATTTTTGCCCAATTTGGCTTATCTTTTTTATCAATACTTTCGTGTCAACAGTTCAATTCAAAGCTAAGCAAAGAAGATACTGAGATCGCCAGAGAGATCATGAAAAAACTGGAAAATGAATTGGAAAGCGCGTACCTTCCATTCAAATCGAAGAATAGCGAGAAGGAAAAGGCGGTTTTGGTAAGAACTGTATATCTAAATGGATGCAAAAGAAACAAATGGCTGATTTTTGAATTCATTTGCTCTTCCTTAGAAACAAGAAAAAGAAAAGGAGAGACTTGTAAAAGAGCAAAAAGAGAAGGAGTTAAAAGCCACGGAAGAGGCACTCAAAGAAGAACGTCGACGGCGTAGCCAATCGTTTGCCGACTCTGGATTCTATAGTCCGCAACGTTCGTACAGTCCACAATCTTCGTATTCGTGCTACAGCCCAACGCCACAATATTATAGCACACCAATTTCAGGTCGCAGCTCCGTTGCATCATCGTACTGCGTAGGTTATTCTTTACTTCTTTTCATTTAGTTACAATGTTTATCGTGGAAACTAATTTTAAAATATTTTCCCTCGTATCAATTGATCAACTATTAGTCCAGCTCACCATCGGCAAGTGCCAATTGGTCATCAGGTGAAAATGCATCCTTGTCGTCCGTTTTTTCGAATACTGGCAGAGATTTTGCACGTGCTGCTGAAATATTCAATAATTCTTCGGCTTGTTCAACTGTATGTATTGTGTAGTGAACGCAAATCATACGGTTTATATTTCAACTTAATTGATAACTTTGTTGTTTTCTTCATTTCTAGCCAAAAACTGCAGCCCAAATGCGGAACAAGTATTACAATTCCAGATATCACAAAAACTAAGTGGCACCAAATTATTCTTTTGAGTTCAAACCCGATTATTTGCAATGGAATACCAGATACCTTTTTTTTCTTTTTTAGTTTTAGTGAAATTTTTCTTCAAAAATCTAATAAAAATGTTGGCTTTATTTTTATATCAGTCTTGGAAAAAAATCAGTGTTTCTTTAAGATTAGACGTAATAGGCGTGTTCAAATAGAATAACAATGGAGAGTAAAGAAAAATTTATCGAGTGCAACTGATGTGGATATTCATTACTATCAGTTCATTCAAATGGCGATCAATAATGACTGTTGCTGTCCAAATTTGAATTGCTGAGTGTATATGCGCTGTTTGTGTTCAATAAAGAATTTCCGAAAAATAAACAAGTGAGAAATGGTGCACATGCACATGCACTTGAATACAATTTCACTCAAGTCAGTGTAAACAAATGAAGTGGTTAAACAGATCGATCTAGTTTGCAGTTTGAATCAAGTTTGTAAGTCCAATCAAAGCCATTGATTGTATCAAAAAGACCATTAAACAGTCAAACTTAATGAAATTCACACTCTTCTGCAGTGGTCATTGAAAAACAGCGCTGTGTTTAAATTGGAAATTCATTTATTTCAATATTTCACATTCATCAGTTTACTATATTCATACATGAATCGGAAAGAAAATTACATAACATTTAGTCCCATTGATAAGTTTTGCCAGGTGTAGGAACTCCTGCAATTCGTGTTCCGGTTTTAGCAACACCCAATTCACTGAAACGAGACAAAATAAAGATCAATAATGAAAGAGCAAACTCAAATAGTTGCTTTACATAAAAGACAATGGAAAGACTAGTATTTTATTTTTGGTCGACTGACATCCATAGATAACATACCCGGAGCCAAGCAAATTTTGTGTTAGATCAATTGGTGGAGCAACTTCTCGTCGGGGATCACGGCTCTCATAGTAATTTGCTGATAATCTGAAAGGATACAAGGAAGGGATGTTGATTTAATTCAATGTGATGACACGGACAGAATATGTGAACAAAACGTACTTGTGTGCTGGGCCATCGGGAATATTTGGCGGTGGTTGATCACGTGCTGAACATTCAGGTTCGAATCTCAATGCCGAATTATGATCACGCTAGATAACAAAATGAAGAGAATAACTTGTGTTATTTGGTAGTAGTACAGGATAGCAATGTTGTCATTCTCAGACTTATATAACTCAAAACAAATGATTCTAATGTGCGACTTGATACATCAAATATGTGAAAAAAGTGAATTGCCAATTTTACTTACGCCTAAGATGACATTTCTAAAAATTTTCGTCAAAAATCCAATATCTCGCTTTGCAACCTGGGCCATTATGTTGGTTGAAAATCCGAAATTTTATAGAATAACCAAAACCAAGTCGTTCACAAGTCTATATGATTTCAGTAGTGTACGGGCTCTTGTCAAAGTGACAATGACACTTCTGATGTGTGGAAAGATAAACGCATATCAGTAGCGACCCCAAACGGTTGACGAAAGCACTACGTGCCAGAGCTCATGCTCATAATGAAATATTCAAAACAGAAGAAATGCAAAATAAACGCTTTTTTTAATTCATCCTTTCAAAAGTTTATTTATATATTTTGTGTGCTATTCTTTTCAATTCAATTCACATTCAAAATTTTCCTCATACAATTTTTTCTATGCATTCAGATGTGAAACTTTGTCATCTCGCCACCATCCACAGGCAATAGTATTTCAGTAAGAAAAGATGCGGAATCGCTAATCAAATACTCTATGGCTGCCGATGTATCGGTGCATTCGCCGGCTCTACCAACGGGATAAACATTCTTGAGACTGTCTACAAATTCATCAGCTTGTTCTGAAGAAAGTCGAAAGCCCGATGTGAGTATCCCGGTTTTGATAACACATGGATTGAAAGCGTTTACTCGGATGCCTTCAAAAATCATTTAACAACGATTATTTTCAAGCCAATATATTTAAAAGTAAATCAGAATTTTCGTTTTAATGCGAGCCCAATTAAACATTTCTTCTATTATTTAGGTTACCTTTTGGTGCCAAATCCAATGCTGTGCTCTTTGTAATGGCATTGCATGCATACTTTGAGATGCAGTATGAGAATATATTTGTTTTTACACGTAATACGGCCGAAGATGATACGTTAAGAATTTTTCCTTTTGTCTTCTCCAAATATGGACAGTTTAATAACGCTTGTCACATTTGTTTTTATGATGCGTTCATACTCGTCCAAATCAACGGTTTCAATGGTATCTCTTGACAAAATGCCAGCGTTGTTGATTAAAATATCTAATTTGCCAAAATGTTTTATCGTTTCAGTGATTATTCGTTCTGCTTCAGATGAAACGTCCGCCACAATCAAGAGTGGTGTTGGGGCACCAGCATTTTTAATCCGATCACACACTTCGTTCAGTCGTTCTGTATTGCGACCAACCAAGGCAATGCTTCCGCTCTTTTGCGCCAAGTGCTCTGCTGCATGAGCACCTATTCCGGAACTCGCGCCCGTGATTAAAACAATTTTACCGTAGAAACTCACTTTTGATCTTTCGCTGGTAACGATCAACTATAGACTATTCAGCGTAGCATTCAGTATATTTCAATTAATGGCTTTGGAATGAACATGCAACTTGACGAGAGGAATGTTTACAAATCGAATGGCTTTATCAGATGATTGCATGACATTTTAAATTTCCTCTGCTTTATTTCTAAAAAAAGACGTTATTTAGAATCAAAACACTGATAAAATCAACTAGCTTTCCCGCGTTGATAACATGTTATCTACAGAAATTTTGTAATTGTGCTGCAATATAATCAATTACTATTTCAATTTTTCGGATGTCTTTGACCAATTTGAATCGATCAAAAGAAGTCAACGATTTCAAATCGTCGTTTTGGCGCTGTTATGAAATCCAACATTTAATTTCATTGCAGACAATTACTCAAAAGGCTTCAAAAGTAAACTTTAGTAGAGTTCAAACAAGCATAATATCTCAAATTTCATGCAATTACATCATAGCGATACAATTCCTGAAAAAATTGTGTTTAGAGATTTTTTTGGAATTTAGCAACAAAATTCACGGACAAACAAAGCGAATTCATTTCGAACGAAATTAAAAGTAATGATGTCAAAATATTTGAATTCTCTCTCTCTCTCTCTTTTTCGCACAGTTCAGACGGGCGAGATACGATTTGTAGATACACATGATATGAACCCTAACATGAATGAATCTGGCGTCAGTATAAATTTTATTTTTGCAGTTAGAAAGATTTTTCTGCACATTTTACAAATTTCAATATGAACCTGACCAAACGCTTCAATTGACTATCGGTGTTTTTCAAGGGCTCATACTAAAAACGGTTATTCAGAACCGTTGGAAGCATGAAGCAGCAACACGTTAAGGTACCTTTGCTGATGCTACTTTTGTAGTTAGTATTGAAATGGAATTCGATTGAATAAGGTCCAAATCTTGCGTTTGAAAAAAAAATGACGACAATTTATGATCAGGCATGTATAATTTTCCTATTTTTTATACTCATTATTACTTTAAAAAAAGAACTCATCCAATTATTCAATTAATTCAATTGTTGAGCATTGGTGTAAACCTTTACACAAAGTATTAAAGTCAGCGGCTATGTACTATTTGCTAAATCAATTCTCATTTTTAGGCCATTCAATTCGGAATCAACTATTATACGGAATTGCGAAGGATAAAATTGCATCAACAAGTCTACTCAATTGATACGAATCGACTTACACTACAACGGCCTGTCCAGAATATTATCGATTGCGATGATGTAGTGCGTAACGATGCAATTGACGTTGGACTGAAATGCTATTTTGCAGCTAAAGAGATACAAATACAACAACAACCTGTTGAATTTCAATGCGATGTCTGTGGACGAGATTTCCGATCAAAGTTTGGGTTGCAACAACACAAGGAAACATCTCATACATCAATGTATGTGCGGCCCAAGTGTTCAATTTGTGCGAGAGTGTATTTGAATAGCTCAAATCTCAAAAGACACTTGAAGACACATGATCAAGTATCCTTTTTGCAAATACTTGGACTATGTCCCACAGCACACTGTTATCTGATCCGAAAGAATGGATCCGAAAAGGATTATAATTTTCCTTCCAATGCATTGAATTTTTTTGAACGAAAATGTCAGAAATCGCGTCGTTACAGATGTGTGAAATGTTGGAAAAAATATTGTTCGAAACGTTGGTTGGATAAACATGCCGTTAGTTGTAAATAAAAAGATTACATTGCTCTAAACTACACACTCTTTTTTCTTGGACTAATTGGTTTTTCAATGAAGAACAAAACATTTATGCCCAAGGAAATGGCATAGATTGGGGTTAATATTCTTTCTGTCATGATTTTTCTGTTTGCTTTGTTTTCTCGTTGTTACAATTAACAACCATATCTCTAGCATGTGAATACTTACTCTTCGATTTTGATACCGTTGCAAATGGAAAATTTAAGAGAGCAGCCTTCAATAAATCGATAGTTTCGATGGCCGTATGACATGTTGCACCATCCTGTTGAAACCACATGTCTTCCAAATCATGTGTGGCAACATTTGGAAACAACCAGCAATCAAGCATCTCTCGATATCGGTCGCCATTAACGTTAACGTTGGCTCCAGCCTCATTTTTGAAGAAAAATGGCCCAAGGATGCCATTTGCGTGTAATCCGCACCACACAGTCACTCGTTTGGGATGTAATGGAGTCTTTAAGAACTCCTCATCATTCTTCTCTCGTTTCCAGGGAGTGTAACTCCGAGGAGGAGGAATGGTGAGGAGGTGAATGAGGAGGAGGAGTGCGCTGAGGAGGTTCCTCCTCCTCACATGAGGAGGAAATAAAAATTACCAAAATTGAGGCATATAAATTTATTTTAAACACTTTTATTGATTTGGAACGGATGCCAACGATAAAAAACTACGATCAACATCAATAGAAGTGTTTAAAATAAATTTATATGCCTCAATTTTGGTAATTTTTATTTCCTCCTCATGTGAGGAGGAGGAACCTCCTCAGCGCACTCCTCCTCCTCATTCACCTCCTCACCATTCCTCCTCCTCGGAGTTACACTCCCTGCTCGTTTCATTGTTTGGCTTGAGTACGCACTAAAACGACACCAGCAGCATAGTGAAAAGAAAAAAAGAAAATAAAACACAAACACTCAATTGAGGTTTCCGCTCTGGACGCACACATACACAACGCTGGCCATACATTGTAGCAATAAAAAGAGTTTTAAGGAAACTGCACTCTTGATGACAGACGAGCTACTCTTTATGTCACTGTGTCGTGCGACAAAATTTTAATAGCCGAGAAACGTGCGTGAATAAAGGTTATCTTACACAATTCGATCTGGTAAACTATTTCGCTTTTTAGCAAGAAAATGGATACAAGTAAAGGTAAGTTTTTCGAAGTTTCTTTCTTATTTCATCGCATTCATATAGCAAAATTGATAAGAGTATTTGATCATGATGACTTTTGAATTTGAGAACAGCAGCAACATAAAAATCATAAATTCGATTGTGGTAATGAAGTAATGAAAAAAAAGCAGTGAGTGTCAATTCGACGTGATGTGTATGAACTAATTTTGCATGCTGCTGTCGCTGTTTGGCTGTTGTTGTTGTTGTTAATATTTCATTTAAATTCATGTTGTTTAAGAAATTATGGAGCGACATGTAAACCATTAGCCAATGACTTTTTTCGTTTTTTTTCTGTCGTGTCAATGCTAGACAAAAATTCGTACATTCAATTAGTAGAACGGAAAAATATTTCATAGAAGAGAAAAATGGCAAAACAATAAGCGTTCGGCTACTTGGGGAACACGGTATCATATGGCATTTCCACACTATTTACACTATCACCCGAAAATTCTCACAATGAAAGTGAACACATTGTGATACGAACAATGATTATTAGCATTTGGTAAACCCTTTAATATTTCTCCGCCACTCAATTCCATCTCATAGATTACACGAACACCTTCGCCACATACACACGTAACTAATTACGAATTATAGTAGTAAGTTATCAAACATATACAAAAACGCACACACAGAGTCAGATAAGAGTGTGACATAACGATTCAATTCGACAATGGCATTAACCCTTTGATGCACAATTTTTTGTTTTTGAATCATTTTGATATACGTTTTGTGCCACGATAAATAGAGAAAAATCTCATACTTAGATTTTTGAAAAATTGCGTATTTGTCGAGAAAATCGGAAAAGAGTCAAAAGTGTCAAATCACTATAAAAGCTTGAAAAAATTAAATTTTATAAAACTAATGATGCAGAAAGTTAAATTGATGTGTTTTGGTCCTACGAGTCCTAATTTGACAATTGAAAAGAATGAATAAACCCACAAGATAAGAGGAGGAAAAATGTGGAATTCTGCTATAATTTCGCTTTTTTTTACAGCAGTACATGAACAGAAAAAACTTTCCATTCAGCCAGCCGATTGTAGCCTCTAGAGTATCAAATGAAAGCTAGTTCATTTCCCTACATTTGTTTCCAAACAAGAATGTAAAAATATTCAGTGGTTTCATAGCTATAGCGTCTGGCGTATCTGGTTACTTTAGGAACCGAAATGTGATAAAGGGTCAAAGCATTTTCCATTCGGGTGGTATCTATTTCAGTTTGTGTAAGCTGAAAAATTATACATTGGCCGCAACCGAAAATTTTGTTGTTTCCTCTTTTTTTCTACGGTAAGTGTGCGACAAATGTATGAATTTATCACGTTTTTACGTGGTCAGTTGAATATGATCCGGCAATTAAATGCTTAATTTGCTGTGAAACAAACTTCTCGCACCAATTTCGTGTTCTGCAGTAAAGATAAGAGAAACGATTAATTGAGTCGTCTTTTTTTCTCCTTCTTCTTCATTCTCCTCCTCCTCTCGTTCCATTCGCCTGGAGTCTAGTGTTTAGCAAACATGAATTTTTTATGTCTAGCAATCATAAATGTGGGTGAATCGATTGAAGCCTTCGGAAGTGCGCGTGATTTTACATTTCAAGTCACCACTTCTTTTTTCAATTTCAGGTGGCGGCGATGGAAAAAAGTTCAAAAAAAAAACTATCATGGTTCATCGTGATGTGAAATATTTTCATGATCAGTTGTAGACCAAGAGCTGTTGAACAAAGTACTATAAATACAAGCTTCATGTCAGATAATGAAATTTTAGGTGCATATTAAGGCCAATATTCAAAATATCATATTGTTTTATCTTCATTTGATACACGTCATAATATCTGCTCGCCGATAACAAGAAAAAAAATTGCTTCACTTTTCGCTCAGGCTTTATGGCAGAATTTTTGTTTACTGATAAATTCGTACGAGAATAATTCAAACACAAAAAATCGGCTCCAAACATTGTACACAACATTTTTTATTTCACATCAAAGTCTAATTCTATTCAAAGAAGTGAGGTTATGTGTTTGTAATGCATTTTATCCATTTTGACATGATTACAACATAACCTCACTTCTTTGAATTGAATGAGACTTTGATGTGAAATAAAAAATGTTGTGTACAATGTTTGGAGCAGATTTTTTGTGTTCGAATTATTCTCGTACGAATTTATCAGTAAACAAAAATTCTGCCATAAAGCTTGAGCGAAAAGTGAAGCAATTTTTTTCTTGTTATCGGCGAGCAGATATTATGACGTGTATCAATGTGCACCTACAATTCCATTATATGACATAAAGCTTGTATTTATAGTACTTTGTTCAACAGATCTTGGTCTATTGTGCAATTTTTTTGAGAAAGATGAAAACCAAGGCGGCTATTCAAAAAGAATTTCGTTATCTTACGGATCGGTAAATAGAATATAGAATATAGAGAGAAAAAGAGTTTTTTTTAAGTTTGTTTCTTTTGTCAGATTCAATGGAGAATTTCTACGAGTATTCGATCCATCAAATATGCACCGCGCTTCAAGCGGCTTAGGTAAATATTTATGATTGTAGGGAAGAGAAAAAGCAAAGACATTTTTTTGGCTAAAAAAACACATGACATTAAATTATGTTTTCAATTCGATCTAGAAGGGGTTGGTGGAATGGTCGGAGCTGCGTACAATTTCATGATTGATATGAATAATTTTTTGGGTGAATGAGAGCCGAAGAGTTGAATCAAGTGCAAATCTATAAAAATCTCAGTTCCTTCCAAAATTTGTAAGTTAATTTCTTTTGAAAAAAAGAAAGAGTTTAAGAAGGCGGTGTGAAAACAGCAACACAAATATTATTACCAATTTGATGTTACCGTTTTTTGAATAAAATTTCTGTTTTATATAGATTCAAAATTGAATTCCGACGCCGGTTTGGGCCATTGTCACCAAACGCATTTGTCGAGCAATTAGATTTTGAGCTGTAGACAACAGAAGCAACGGGAGCAATGGTGGAATTGGTTCTTTCATTTGATAGAAAACCATAAACAACAACAGCAGCAACAAAAAGAACAATAACCACTACAACGGACCTTTGAACACCTTTTGTGTATGGTCTATTTTAAAATCAGTGTCTCAAAATATTATTACTCAAATTTTGATTATTATTCGATACGAAAATAAACTGCAATCACTTTTCGCGGGTTGTAAAAAAACAAACATTCTGGTCATTATTCCTTTTGTCTCTCTCTCGCGTTGAGTCTTTTGCGTATTTTACCTGGTTTTTTTTTGGAGGAAAGATTACAAAAAGTAAAAGTACGAAACTAGAATCATAACAGATATGACAATACACAAGAATGACGATATACTGGCACACGCTTCAAGTAAAAAAAAAAACAATACAACAAACCACTAATTCGTAAATTCTTTATCTGTGTCGATTATTTTCACGTCATTGACAGATTACTGAGTGCAGTTGTTATTGTCCAACAAGCAAAGCCTCCTGTTCTCAACACTGTACATGAGCGTACATAAGCCAGGCCGACCAATAGCATTAACTCGGTTTTGTTTATTCGTCGGCCACTTATGCGTGTATCATCATCTTTTTTTTCTTTTTCGTTCGCTCTCGTCGTATTTATTTTGCTTTGATTAGTCTGAAACGATTTTGAACGCCGGAATGTTTGCGCTCATGAGTTTCATTTTCGTCCCGTTTTATTTTTCTCTCCTTCCCTTTTCGCTCATTATGCTCAATTTCGAAACCGTAATGTTATTTGAATTTTATTGAAATAAAAATATTAACCAATAAATAATTGCGCATTCACAACAACGTGCGTCCCGAACAAACAAACAAAAAAACAAAAACAAAAATCAAAAACTGAAATCAACCAAACGAAAACCAAATGTCTTTTTCCAATGATTTTATCGATTACAAATGTAGTAGCGGCCGAATGTGGGGAATGTCACATTCGATGCCAACCGGAATGGTAAGTGACTGTTGCTTTTGCACCCGAAACTAAAGCCTTTTTGTTTCATGCTCCGCTCATGCCGTGTGGATTTTGTGGTGTTGACTCAAATAGTAAAGGAATAATGTTCGTAAATTGCAAATTCGATGACAAATCGCGTGATCTCAATTTTCCATTGATATTGTTGTTGTTTTCATT